TTCTTTGTGTTGCCAAATCAACCAATTTTAAGATTGGAGGCTGATCAAATTTATTTATTATCTGATGATTATTATTATATTAGTACAATAAACTTTATCTTTCATGCTAGTCTTTGCCAGTATGATGAACTTCTGAAGTGAACAAAAATTTCATAATTGAGATCTAGCAAGATTTTTATTTTTATTTTTTTTTCTCAATGGGTTGAGTCTGTAGGAAATATTGAAGGTTAGCGTCAACAAAAATATTTTTGACTAATGTTTTTCGCATTTTTTAGCGTTGGTATAGTAAAAATAAAAAATTAACGAAAAATGTTTTCCATAGTCAATGGAAAATAAAAATATTTTCTGCTATCAAAGGGTGAAAAACGTTTTTCGAATTAAACTCTTATCATTGCTATCATACTACCATTGCCACCACCACTAATACAATCATTAATATAACAGCTTCAAAGACACAACAAAATATAGGAAAATATTTTATAGAAAAAAAATTGCACATAAAATTTTTTCTACTAAAATAAATGGTGCATAAGAGTGTGAAAAAACATTTTAGTGATTTTTTAAAATTATGTTCATATATATACATATATATTTACATTTTAGATGTATTTAAATTAAATAAATTTTAAAAGTAAAAAAAAATACTTAAAATAGTTCAAAAAGCCCAATAAATTACGTAATAGCGCAACAATCAATTTCCAATCAGAATGAAAGTTTACCATTAGAATTTTTATTGAAATATTTACTTAAATCAGTGCGTAAAAACTTCAATCATGATTGGAGGATATAATTTATATGTATTATAGAACTTTTTTTTAAAAAATAAAACTATTTTAGCTTAATTTGTGATTTTTTTTATTATGAAAACTCATTTGAAATTGACTTGAATGATAAACAAACTAAATTTTTAATATATTTTTTAAACTCATTAAGTTTTAATTGTTCGTGAAATTTTAAATAAATTATATTTTATTTCAAATTTTTTTTTGGTGATTTTTTTATTTAAAATTATGTCAATTTTTTATTTTTCTAGTCTACCTTGTCTAGATGAATCTAAAGGTAAAATTATTTTTTTTTAAATCAAAATAAGGAAAAAAATTCACAATTTTTTTATCTCTCTTTTTTGGATTTTTTTTTTTTAAATTTAGTTCATCGAGTAGAATTTGGAAATTTATTTTATTTTTTTTAAAGTTTTTTGGGTAATTAAAAAAAAAGGTCCATTAAGACAAAAAGAAAAAAGAAAAAAAGAGGAATAAAAAAGTCAAAAAAATAGATAGCAAACCCCACTAAACTGAAATGGTCAACTATAAAGCTGAGAGAGAGGGAATGGGACATGAATGATTTACGAAATTTTTAAAAGTTTTAAGAACGGTGATAAATGTAGTATAAACTTTTAGATATAACTGACAACAACAAAAAAGTATATAAAAACAGCACTAATCCCCTATACAAAATCTAAACTGGTAAAAGTTCTACCATCAAATGATATTGTCAAAATAAACCAATCAAATATCACAATCAATTAAAGAAAAAAACCATAATAATAGACATAAATGCAAAAATAAAAGAATAAAAATTTAGAACACTCAAGTTGCTATTGATTGTCCTTCTACCAGATAATACCTTTTAGAGCATTTCCAATTTCCTTGAGATTTTTGCTCAACCTGTTCACGTTAGCAAAGAACCCTACAAAATCTTGCCTATATGGCATCAACTACCACCTCCGATCTCCCTCCTGCGCCACTGTCACTCCTCCTCCGGCCACTGTTGGCTTCACTTTTCCGGTGACTTTTACTTTTGTTGCTCTCTCAGAGGCCTTCTTGTTGTTCTTCTTCTTCGAATTGGCATTCAAAGGAGCGAGAAAGACGAAGGTGTCCTTGCCGTCACTATTGCTCAGTAGAAAAGATCGTGAAACTTCCAGCACTTTGATAATCCCGTCAAGCTACTCTTCTTACATCTCTTCGGTGACTCTGCCACCGCAGACGCACCAGATTTTGGTTTCTAGACGCAGTAGGTTCTTGCTGGAACTCTGTCGAGCTCGTCGGCTTCAGAGGAGGATCATGACGGAGGATCATGACGGAGGATCGCGGTCCTCGGGAATCTGAATCAACGATGGAGTGGGAGGCTTAGAAGAATTCACTTCACCTTTACAATTTTCAACATCAGAAAACAACAAATCTTTGCCGAAAATAGGGAAAACAAGCTTGATCTGGCTGTTGTTGAAGATCTCATCGGTAGAGGTGAGGTCTTTACACACACAAAGGAACTCAAAATCATCATCATCATCATCATCGTCATCTTCGTAGCTCTTCATTTATTCTTCTTCTTGGACCCTTGGTTGTTCCTCGATCAGGATTTCATAAACACAGTAGTCTTCCTCAATCGTGCTGAGATTCTCGATTAGCAAGCTCAGTTCATGTCCTTTCATTTCCAGATCTCTTTCCAAGTCTTCAATTGTTTCTTCCAATTCTCTGATCCTTTCTCTCAAGACCATATCTGTAACGCCCTCAAAATAGTAACATTAAACCCATCAGATAAGACATGCATTTACATATAAACCAACCATACTCCTTTATTTCATTGAGTTTCATTACATAAGTATTACATGTTAACATCAAAACAAAATGCCCTACGGGCTTACAGCTTTCCAAGTTAACACTTGGTTTCAACAAAAGAGTACTAACTCGTTTACACATTAAGCCCTTGGCTTGAAGTTACATGTAATACATCAAAAGTTAAGCGACAAAAGTATGTCCGCCACTAGCCTCCCAGCTATGTCCTTGGAGGGGGCATGCATCCGAAACCATTGGATGAAAAAGACACAAATAATGCATATCCCAAGGGTTTAGATGTTGATGTCAATTTGGAAGTAAAATGTGGAGAAACAAAAGAATGAGTTGATCCAAAATCAATGACAATATGAGCTGAATGACCACATATAGAAAGTGTACCTGACACAACGTTCTCAGTAGCATTGGGGTTTCCAGCACTAAAGCAAAAGCTCTCCTTTGGTGTTTATATTCTTTCCTCCTTCATATGACTGTTCTTGATTTATGAATTGGTTCAAGAGTACCCATCATAGAGTTGGTGAATTTTGGACAATCTTTCACCTAATGACCAACTTGGCCACATCTATAGCATGCTCCCATTGCCTGATAACATTGTCTTCAATGAGCTTTTCCATAAATTGAACAATTCGAAATGGTGCTACCTTAGGGATAGTAGAGCTTTGGTTGGCTGAACCAATTGAGCCAATAGGTCTGGTATTCATTTTCTTTTGTGGTGCTAACCTAGATCCTCCCGACTGATTCCCAAAATTGCTTCTTTTGACCTATTCTGCGAAAACGTGAGGTTTTAATTCCTTTCTTAGTGATGTATGCTCGATCTACCACATCTGCATAGGTTGGTAGTTTTAAAACCTCAATCTTAGCTTTGAGTTCAGCATCTAACCCTGCTTCGAATTTCCTAGCTTTTCAGGCTTCCGTTTGAATAACATACGTTACAAGTTCATTTTTGGCATGGACCCTAGTTTCATTGTTAGAAAGGTGGTACAAGGGTGGGAGACCACCTTTTATAAGATCTTCGGGAAAGACATCCGAATACTCACAAACCACCCTCGGTAACACAACCTGGGTCTCACCACTCTCACCACTCTCAAAGCTGGCAAGTAGACTACTAAGCTCACTTCGCCCTCGCGAATCATACCCGGGTGGCAAAACACTACCAACCCGGTCTCCCAAGAAATGGAACCACTCCCCGCTCAAGGTACATAATGTAACCCTCTGGCGGTAGCAATCAATAACTGCCCGGTATGACGATAGCCAGTCCATGAAGTCCATAGTGACATGCTCCCACTTCCACTCGGCAATAGGCAAGGGTTGCAACAAACCCGCTGGCCTCTGATGCTCGGCCTTCACTTGCTGGCAAGTAAGGCATTTCAATACGAAGACAGCCACATCTCTTCAAAGGTGAGTAAATCACTCCTACTAGATCAAAACCTAGAGAGAGGGTAGAGTCTAGAGTGAGAGGCTCAACAATGGTGATTTTGGAAAAGTAAGAGAGAGAAGAGAAAGTGAAAAAGTGATTTGAAAAGTCACAATTTCGGGATTTAAACCCAGTCTTCCGCTCGAGCGTAAAACACCCCGCTCGAGCGGCCACTCACAGACTTCCGCTCGAGCGGCCAACCTCCCGCTCGAGCGCAGAATGCACTCGCCCAGCACTTTTGCAGAACCAGGCCTCCGCTCGAGCTCCCAACCCTACGCTCGAGCGGCACTCAGACAACCCCGCTCGAGCGGCCAATACCACGCTCGAGCGTACAACGCTGCACAGGAAAATACTGAATGGGTGTATTACCCGCTCGAGCGCCAATACCTCCGCTCGAGCGTACAGGCCAAAAATCTGGGCAACTAGTTTTGGTTTCTAAACTCAACCAACCTGAAACAAAACCGCCCAACACATCCTATAACTCAAATACGAAGTAAAAGGATGTAAACAAAATAATAAACAACTACCAACATCCACGGACACATGTCCGGATCACGGTATAACAAGGGTAAACCCGGGATCGCTATAATATCCTTTTTTTTCCTATCTTGTAGTTGCTCTATTAGGACGCTAAGCTCATCCTTTAGTTGTTGTTTCTCGATATTTGTCTCATTGACCCTGTTCTTTGCAACTTGAAACTCGTTCAAGATTTTATAAACACGGCTCTCAAAGTGGCCGTAGTCTTCCTCAATCGTGCTGAGATTCTCAATCAACAAGCTCACTTCATCTCCTTTCATTTCCAAATCTCTTTTCAAGTCTTCGATTGTTTCTTCCAATTCATCAACTTTCCTATCTTTGGATTCTATACACTTTTGTAACTCCTCTTCTTCCATTTCTTTAATCTTCCTTTTAGCAACCTCAAGGTTTGCCTTGCATTCTTAAAACAAAACTTCGAGTTGTTTGTGCTCTTCTCTCAATTCATTGAAAGCATCCTCCTGTTCTTTTAGCATTCTTTGCTAATCCGCAACCTTGTTTGCTAGCTCGGAATTCTTATTCTCCACTTGAGTCGAGTTTTTTGAAGATTCTTGTTTACCTCTCTCAATTTGCAACACTGATGCCGAGTCCAAGACGGAGGAAGAAAAACAAAAAGAATAATCTTTATTCCCATCTTTTTCATCCTCATCTTCTTCTTTGATAAGGTTCAAGGTCTTCTGAACTTTGTCCTCAATCTCTGCAATGAGCAGGAAATTTCTGTTTTAATACCGGGCATCTACTTTAAGATCCATTGTTTACAGAAAAAAATTGCTAAACATAAATATGAAGCTATTTCAAAAAGAAATAAATGTCTATATTTGTTCATTCAAATTAAGGATTTTTCTTTTATGCTTTTTGAGTATCCATGAAACAAGTCAGGGTTACTTAACTCAAGCTACAAATCTTATTTAACAAAACAATAAAAGACTATACAGCTATAAATCTTGACAAATTCCGTACATACTTCATCAATTTATTGCAGGTTCATATTAAAATGAAGGATTCATCTTTTATTTTATTTTATTTTTTGGTATGTGTGATGCTAAATCAATAAATCGCAATCATTGCATAATTTTTGATTTACCAAAAATGAAATAAATAATTTAAAAAATAAATAAATAACTTACCAAAATGAATGGGTCTTGCGATCCTGCTTTCGCTTGTTTGGGGCCGAAAATGGATCGAAGAAGTTTGTGAAACGATTAAGAAAATTTTGAGGATTTTTTGGAGATGGATTGTGGTGGTTGTTGAGAAAAAGAACTTTTTGATGCATTGTTTGTTTATTTTTTGGGAAAAAAGACAGAGATGTAGAGATGGTTACACAACTTTAGAGAGTGAGAGAGGAAAAGTTTCTTGGCTTTTACCTTGAAAGGTAGGTTCATTTTTTTTCATATTCTTGGCTTTTATCTTGAAGGATAGGTTCATTTTTTCCATATAAAGTTTGGGTATCAATGTGGAAAGTTTTGACATTTTCATTTCAACTTCATTTCCTTCACTAGTAACTCTCTCTCTCTCTCTCTCTCTCTCTCTGTGAATGTGTGCATGTATGTGGAAACTTTCCATATTCTTTGCTTTTATCCTGAAAGCTAGGTTCATTTTTTCCATATAAAGTTGGGGTATCAATGTGGAAAGTTTTGACATTTCCATTTCAACTTCATTTCTTTCACTAGTAACTCTGTGTGTGTGTGTGTGTGTGTGTGAAAGTGTGCGTGTATGTGTGTGTGTGTGTGTGTATGTGTGTGTCTTCAACACTTCTTAAACAACAAGTTTGTTGGTGGGAGAGGGAGTTGAAACTACTTATGGTAGCTTAAAATAAAATTCAGAGAGATAAATTTGGAGACAAACAAACAGACTTTACTAAGAAAAATTATTGAACAAGGAGAAACACTCTCTCTGACTATAACTCTTAAACTCTTTTCTTATTCTCTCCACACTAAATTCTCAAAATAGAATAACTATATATATAGATTAAACTAGTAATGTGAAGGCATTAAATGCATATACAACAATACAATCTTATTTTGACTTTCATGCTTCAGCAATCTTTGAACACAGATTTGCTAGGGTGGCTGTCTAGGGTGGCTATCAAGCTTACTTTCCAGCATCCCCCCTTAAGCTTGATTCTCCAAGTTGTTTCATGCATAACATTATCTTCAATTTTGTGAACACATCACCCTTCAATGGCTTTGTGAAGATATCGGCAACTTGGTCTTGAGATTTGCAAGGAATCAACTCCACCTCTTTATTTTTCACATGCTCTCAAATAAAATGATAGCGTGTATCAATATGCTTGCTTCGTTCATGATAAACTAGGTTCTTTGCTAATGCAATTGCTGAGCGATTATCAACATAGATCTCAATAGGATTTTCTTGTGGAAATCCTAAATGCTTCAGCACATTTCTTAACCAAATTGCATGACACACAGTTGAGTTGGCTGCAACATACTCAGCTTCGCAGGTTGATAATGTCACAATAGCTTGCTTCTTGGATGACCAAGTGAACACTATATTTCCCGAAAAGAAAGCAAATCCCGTAGTACTTTTCGTTTCATCCAAGTCACATCCCCAGTCACTATCTGAGTAGGCAACAAGACTGAAATTATCAGTTGGTTTATAGAATAAACCATCGTCGACTGTACCTTTGATGTAGCGAAGAATCCTCTTTGATGCATAAAGGTGTGACTGATCTGGTGTTTCCATATATCTGCTAATCAGTCCTACTCCATAGAGTATGTATGGCCTAGTGCAAGTAAGATATCGAAGACTTCCAACTAGGCTCTTGAAATAAGTTGGATCCACATCACCTACCTTTATACCTTTTTTTTGCTCCACTCCACTGTCTACAGGAGTGTTCTTTGGATTGTAATTTTCCATTCCATATCTCTTGAGAATTTCCTTGGTATAGCCACTTTGGGAAATAAAAATTCCATCTTTTCTTTGTATCACTTCAATTCCAAGAAAGTGTGCCATCATACCGATATTTGTCATTTCAAATTCACGAACCATGCTTTTCTTGAATTTCTTGAACGTAGCTGGATTGTTGTGAATATCGAATCATTAACATAAAGGCAAGCAAGCAACATGCTTCCATTAGCTTCCTTCTTCAAATATAGTGCATGCTCATATGGGCATTTTTCAAAACCATTGTCATGAAAATACTGATCAATTCTAGTATTCCACGCACGTGGAGCTTGCTTCAATCCATAAAGTGCTTTCTTCAAT